AACTCTAATTGACTAAGACTGTTGTTGTCAGGTTTGAGTTTCGATTTTAATTAAAAAGAATTACAAACTAACCTAAAGAGGAATATTTGAATTATACAAGCGCTAAAAGTTGTGTTTTTGTCGAGTCTGAAACGGAAATTGGATTTGTGTATTAAAATTCAAGCAGTTTTCCTGATTGAGTAACGAGGTTGGCCGCTTCGTTTTGTCCTGCGCTGTAAAAGTTCATCATCCATTAGATGCATGTGTAAACCAAATTTGTCCGTAGTCAAAACTTGCAGGAACATGCAGTAAAGAAAGAAAGAGTTAATGACAAAAGTATGTCTAACGAGAGGACAGCTGACAGCAGGACCAGACGAGTGAAAAAAGCTACCTTCGTGATGTAAACTGCCATGATCTGAACGATATTTTGGTAAAGAGCAAATATGTCAAAGTTCAAGACAAGAAGTTGTCGTGGAATGTGGACTGAATAAATCAATAGGTGGAAAATAAATAACACATATCTTATTGTTTTACTGCTTGATTGGCACACCTCACAAAACAAAAGGTGCTTGTGCAAACAAAACCTTTTTAACCGACTTTGCGATCGGTGATAGGATGAGCTCTATAATTGGTAGGTTTTCACTTCAAAAAAACTTTCTAATTGTTTCAGCGCCAAAAGGAGAAGAGAAAAAGGGAAATGATGAGCTTCTTCAAAAACTTGAGTCGTACGTGCGTGATAACACTTCAGAGTTTCTTTTCACAATATAAATACAATATCAAGTAGATAAGGAATAAGAAGAGAGGAATATCAAATTCTCCGAACGAAAATCATCAGAATTGTCTGACAGACAGTAAGAAGAATCACTAATGAGATAAACTGGGGAGTAAAAGGGTTCATAGATTGACCGGTCATTTTGGGCGCCGCTAATCATTGAAGTTTGAACCTTTTATCGGCACTACAGGTCATGAATATGCAATTCATGATCCCTTTGCTTTGTCGGTTTCAGGTATGAGTGGCATCAGTGCAGATGTATAAACCTTTTAGGGGTCCACCTTCTTATTTCCATAACGCCATCTATGAGTTAGTTGGGAGAGGCTTTCATCTGTTACTCTAATATTGCGTACATGTTAAGGATGTTAATCTAGTTTGTAATAAAAAAAAAAGGAAATTAGATAACTCAATTTTACATTCTGATTAATTTTGATTCAGTTGAGTTGTTTTTCAACAAGTAATGATATGTTTCATGGAAATAACTTAACAATCACCCAACAGTTCGATCAGTATTTGTCATGATGACCATATCAAGCAAACACGAAATATGAACAGCTCTAGGTGATGTTATCTTATTGCTCTCTAATTGTACTTTGTTTCAAACAATTTCTTCTAGAATCCTATGAAAAGTAAGGGAAAATAATGACGACAACAACAGCCACATTGCAAATAAACACCTCATAATAACACTGGATGGCCATTCAAGAGGCAACTCATCACCTATAAGCTATAGACTTTAGTGAGGAGAATTTTTTCTAAGCGTGACCGAAAGCAACATTGCCACTTTGTTTAGTGCATTGTCTACAAGTCTAGTGGAATGATTTCATCGAACACATTGGCAAAGACTGGAATCCAGTTGAAGTTCGCGGTACGTGGTGTCTACATTAATGAAAGGATATACTACCAAAATATTTGGAATCGACGTTCCCTCTCCAGTTTCATCTACATGATTTATAATAACGGTGATTTATTACACGACTCGGGCAGTCAGAGGGCCAATAACTAAAATCAACCAATCAAAA